AAGTTTTGTTATTTCCTAGAAATTTGGTTAGATTAAGGCTTTATTGGATTATTTCATAAACAACTAAATTATGCTTCATAAGAGTCCGCTAAGTTACACTAGGAAACCCTTTTTCCCAAACTTATGACAATTTCATAATTTGTCTGAATTGAATTGAATTGAATTAGCATAGCCCGTGATCACTTTTAGCTCACATGGATAGAAATGATAGCTTGGATAATTATAGATGTTCAATGATTTTTATGATAGTTATAAGATACTTATAACATCTAGGAATTTTGATTAATTAACTGATTAATTAGCTGTTAAACACCACACTCTTAGTCACTCATTACATTCTTACAATTTGTACAATGTAATGTAGGCGTCTTATCAAATGTTACAATAATAAAGATTATTCAATAAATAGTTATATTAATATGTTTAAAGTACTAGAAAATGAAATAACACATATCATCTTATCAGCAGCACAAGGACTACTAAATGGATATATTTAATACTGAATATATATATATTTATATATATGATTAATATTTAAATAATTTTAAAATTTATCATTACAAATCTGACAAAACTTATATAATGTGTTATTTAATTAAATATGATAAAACACCACCTTAGATAGAAGGGTTAACCACAGGTAACAACACAGGTAAAAACAGGTAAAAACCCAGGTAAATACTGCCCATACTACTTAGAAACAGACTATAATCCTTCTAACAACATTATTCCCCCCATGTTATTTTAAAAAGTGGGGGAAAGGATAACAAGCCCAATGGTCAATCCTAATATCATAATTGTGTCTGTCTCGTTATGTCCAGCAAAAGTATATATGGTTATAGGGTTGGGATCTCAACTGTTTCATTAAATTATGGCTTTAATTAAGGCCTTATGGGTGGGGCCAGACCCCAATGTAAATTCTTATATCATAATTGTTCTCGTTTCTTGATGCGCAGCTAGCAATTGTATACCTGCTTTTAAGTTTGGGATCTCCAAAATATCTAAGTTAAAAAAAATGTTTGGTCCTGCACCTCAGACCTAGGGGTCAGCCCTTAAATTGGTACGATTTTGAATCATCACTACCTGTTAATACTTCAATTGGTTGATATCCAACACTTTGTTCCAGAGAAGAAGTCGTTTTCAGGCATATGGCCAAATAACCCTTTTTTGGCCACGCCCCTTAGCCCCCTGAGGGGGGAGGAGGGTCAGCTCCTCCATTTGTACAATTTTGAATCTCCACCACCTCTTAGTCAAATTCGGTCAAATTCCAATAAGCAGTTAAGAGGCACAGTGGTCTAATGGTAGGACGCCGGGATCATGACCGAAGGGTTGCGGGTTTCGAGTCACGTCACAGTGTTGTATCCTTGGACCAGATACTTTACTCAGCGAGTTGAGAAAGATATTGGCTGGTTGCAAAGACCCTTATATAACCACGGCTAATAATTTATGAACCGCCTTGACGCGACCTACGAACTAGGTTGTGATAAAGCGGTATATAAGAACCTCAAACTATTATTATTACTATTATTGTTTGGAGAAATTGTCGACAGACGGAAGCCACGGTATGGCATAAGCTCACTTTGGTCCTCTTGACATCTGAGCACTTATTACTTATAAAGCTTGTGAAGTTTATTCTGCTCATATCAGCGATCATGAATGGAATGATAATTTATTTGTCTTAGGAATATCATATTATCTTTACTTAAAATCAATACATGATTGTTGCAGTATTTATTACATGACCATATTCATATCATTATCAATTAATAGACTTTTATTGAGGTGAATATGTGGTCATAAGAATTATATGGACCTGAGAAAGTGATACTAACCTTAATCTCGGTCAATATCAGCTTCTCAGGTTCATCATATAACCACCACATATCCACCGAAATAAAAGTCCTTAATTGATTGTTATCATTAAACAAGATGGAACATATGAAAATTGCACATTTGGAAGTGATTGATCATTGTGACTGTAACCCTTGTAAATACTAGCTGCAATATACCGCTCGGCCAGAGAGATCTTCTCTTTAGGTTGATCGGGTGAGCGTTAGACTAGTAAGCCAGAGGTACCGGGTTCGATTCTCAGCGGAGGCAGTGAAATATTTGTTTAAATTTCGCGGACTCGGTTACATTGGCGCCCACGTAGGGACCCGGGTGAATTGACAAAATACTCAGCGCTAGCTATACTTGCTAAGGAATGGCTATGACCGTGACCCCTGGACGCTCGAGGACGAGTTCTTCCCTGGAGGGGGAGTATGTAACCCTTGTAGAAACTAGCTGCAATATACCGCTCGGCTAGAGAGATCTACTCTTTAGCTTGATCGGTTGAGCGTTAGACTAGTAAGCCAGAGGTACCGGGTTCGATCCTCAGCGGAGGCAGTGAAATATTTGTTTAAATTTCGCGTGCTCTGTTACATTGAAATGACTTCATAAGTGAATAATATTAACCTGCTATTTTTCTAAAAATAGTAACATTTAGTTAATATCAAAAATTAATAACCTCCACGTGATTACCTATGATCCTACAAATGAGATTGTAGGAAAATATGTGACATCTAATTTTACCCCATATTCACTCAAGGCCCTGATATCAGCCCAAGAGCCTGAAATTATTTCAATCTATCTGTTTTCATTTTGTGTAGATAACCAGTTGGCTACAAGTTTTCTATCGTTTACTGTTTTCCTCTTGTATTTGATTTTTGTCCGGCAATCTCCTCCTACATTTTTCAACGGATCTCTTTGAAACTTGGTATACATTATAATCATGATATGAAGTTATGTCTCCCTTAAAAGAATTTCGATTTGATAATTTTTCCAAAAGTTATTGCTCTTTGTTTATTTCAGTATTTGATTTTTGTCCGGCAATATTCTCCTACATTTGTTAACGGATCTCTTTGAAACTTGGTATACATTATAATCATAACAGAAGTTGTGTCTCCCCTATCAGAAATTTGATTCGATAATTTTTGCAAAAGTTATTGCCCTTTGTTCATTTCAGTATTTCATTTTTGTCCGGCAAGATTTTCTCCTACATTTTTATAGCATGTCAGCTAACCACCCTTTGAATGATGCAGATCTTATTTCAATGTTAATATAACACTATATGGCATTCGACGGGCGTATATTTTTGTCCATAAAAGAACTGTAAATTGACAATTAGATATAGTAATTTAATTTATTTCCGTCGTTTTTGGTTTAGTAATGAAAATAGCTGTCATTGTATAAATTCTATCCCTTTGAAAAGTTCAAGGTAGACAACTCTCATTGGGATCAAAATTATTGTTAAGGTAAATCTTGTACGCCGTTCCCGGACTAAAAACCCGTACCAGAAATATAAAGATCATTTAGGTAATATGTCAAGTCAAATTTCATGTGAAATATGTCGTTTATTTCAACGAAACTTACATAATTATAAGCAGTAAGGTATTTTGTTCTCTATATCCGAAAATAACTTAATTTTTCTCTAAATCTCAAATTATATATGATGGTTGACTGCGGCATACAAGTTTTACCCCTTGGAATACAATTTATTGTCAATTTCTAAAATATCAGATAATTAAAAAAAAACAACTGAATTCCACATTTAGAAAATGATGTTTGAAATTATTGTATTTTTTTTTAATAAACTACCGCGTTAAAAATAAAGAGATATTGAAGTATCTTTATATTCCTTGTACGGGGTTTTAGTTGGGGACCGGAAATGGCGTACAAGATTTACACGAGCGGGGAATCTGTAGTTGCAGCGGCTGAGATATATACTGCAAAATATTGTTATATTGGTGAAGAAAACACTTGCTTTTTATTTATATCCCCCCTCAAAGAAAGTTCGGGGGGATATACAGGAATCCGCACGTACATGCTGAATGTAGCCTGAGTTTTCCTCTGGTCCCGACACCACGCTTGGACATTTTGAAAAATCCCTCTGGATCCACCACTAAGCATTACAAGAATTAAGGAAATAACTTGATGTACAAAATTCTCGTTTAAGATTTCCAACACAGGTTTGGGTATTAACTCATTCACCCCTGGAATTTTGTAATGGACTGTTCTAGCCTTGGAATTGGAAGAGTTCAAATGCGTCTTCAGGGGTGAATGCGTAAATATAGTATCTGTAAGCAACATAAAGAGCAAAGGTAAAAAGATCATCTTGTAGATCTGATAAAGATCGTTCTATGGTGGGCTTCCGAGATTTTTCTAGGATCTCTTAAATGTTTTAAACTAGTCCATTGACACGTAAATTGACTTTATTTCTAATTTAACAAAAAAAGGGCAGAACATATTAGCGATGATTGTTTGGATATAGATATTTGATTCTAAAATTTGTGCTTTACCTGTGAGACTCGCCTTAATTTTGAGGACTAATTCAGGGTTAGACAGAAACTTTTTTTGCTTGGTAGTCCACAGGACTAGTTGAATAGATTATTTATTAGTCCTTCGTCACTGTAACTAGTCCAATATTTCCTGATAAGGACACATAGCGTGATCTACAGCACGGAACATTAAAAGTAATCGACTTTAGGGACTTAAAGTAATTACTGCCATAAAAAGATGGTGAAGTTTTAGGAATATTTTTACAATTATCATGCAATATATCATAATTTAAGCTGTGTTCTAAATTTTAAAAAGAAATATTCTTATTTTATAATAACATTTTTCACAAGCCCAAAGGACCAGTAAGGTTAGGTGATTCACTAGTCCACAACTTTTGAATATGATTTTCCTAACAAATTATAACTGAATAGTGAATTCATGTGCAACTTGAAATAAGTGTCATAAGGATTTTGTTTTAATTGAACTTATTCACCCCTACATATTTTCACTGGACTTTGCAAGACTTTAATTCGGTAAGGTTTAAATGTGAGTTTAGGGGTGAATGGATTAAAACAAGTTTCCTTTTTTGGAAGATTTAACAAGATGCATATTGTTTCTTTTCATTGCATTTTGATGTACGTTGTATACGTAACTCAAAACATTTTTTTTTTTTTACAGTAAATCAAGAAAAAATTGAAATCAAGAGAATAATAGAAATTTTGCTGAAAGAAAAACTCCAAAAATTAGCCGATACCCATATTGATGAACTCCGCAGTACACATACAAATGTGGAGGAAGATGAAGAACCGGGACAATTCAACAAAGAATTGGACGTTGCCGAGGTATTTATTGATTTCTGAAATATATGCATGTATCACGGAAACAGTCAAGCTAAAAAGTTTGGTTGGAGGATAACTCTTTAAATTGGATATCTGATAAGTATATATGATTCAAACACACCAAGACCTAGTCTCAACAGGTCACAGTAAAACTGTGCTAGTTTGTCCACCAACCTTGTGTACTTGGTGAAATAAACCTAAGAACCATGTGAAGGGCTGAAAGCTACTAATATAAGTTTTGAAGGTGCACATTATCTTTTATTGTTTTGTGTATGGGCAATGACGTATTACAACAGTGCAGACAAACAGATTTGTCAAATTTTCAGGCCGTTCCAAGACAAGAACACGAAAATTAACATATCACACCATATAAACAGTGATGAGCAGTCACCATGAAACAATAATACAATAAAAAATACATAAACAAACAGAAGTTACTTGTATGAAATATGCTCCCGCAATTGTACATCCCCTTGGTTAGCTTAATGAAACCGTATACTAATTATTGTAAAAAGTTCATCTTAAATAGTAGAATGAATATATATGCGAGTTCAAGTAAATTAATACAAAAAATCTGAATACATGTAGTGAAACTCTTTTGTGATAGTTGTTCGTGTAAACACGGCATGAAAAAAACGGTAGTTAAAAATTAATGGTTATTTTTTCTGTACATGCATGTTCGCAATTCTGAATAGTTGGGATGTCATCCCCAAGATTTAAAACCTTCGTAAATACCAGTGCAACAACAGTTTAGGTAGCACTTGTCCTTTGGGAAAGGGCTTTCAAAGACCTACTTGAAGTTGAAATGTACCAATTTCATTATAAATGTGCATGAATCTAGTATATCATTAATTCATTTTTCACTAATCTGCAAGGAAAGAAAATCTCATTTCATTTGCACGAAGTCCAAAATCAGTCATCAGCACAAGCAGTCAGATCTAATCTTGATTTTTTCTTTTCAATTATTCTCTACAACGAATTCTTTCATGTGAACAAAATTGCACAATTGAGACATACATCGGTACATTACAGACCTGTATTATGAACTTTTTTGTAATAAAACTGTCCAGCCAGCCTATACTTAGTCATGTCAAGAAATGCACACCAAGCAAATAAACTTGATAAACATATTTGTAGAACTGTAAGAAACCTGATGGTAGGGATTGATCAGGGGAGATAACTTCTCATAACCTTGAAGCATGACGAGGTTGAGTATAGACACAAAAAGCATTTAAATATAATTTCAAGATGTATAGCAGACAACCAAATGGAGAAAATCCAGCTCTCTTTGGATTTTGAGCTGTAGCAGATGAATAAGGTGTGATATGTGGTGAATGGTTAAGGGGAGATAATCAAGTTCTGTTTTTCGATTGTGAGCTGTAGTGGATGAACACGGGGAGATAATCAAGTTTTCCCTTTGAAATTGTAGATGTATTATATTGAAGGGGAGATAATCCAGTTATGTCTTTGGATTTTGAACTGTAGCAGATGATAACCATGTTCTCTTTTGGTTTATAGTTGAAGAACTTGTTTAATGCATTTCTGTAAATTGATTTCAAGAAGGAGGGAGAGACGGATAATTCCCTGAGCTCGTTTGAGAACTCGGAAACCAGAGGACTTCTTGAAAAAAATCTTAACAACGAAAGAAGTGACCAAGAGGAAGTAAGACAATTGGATTTAAATACATGCATACATGCATGTACACCTGAGCTTCAATAACTCATTCATCCCTGAGGTCACATTATAACTCTTCCATTTCAACAGTTGGAATAGTCCGTTATGAAATTTCAGGGGTGAATGAGTTAAGGAAGCCAATTTTAATGCTCGTTGTACCACCATATATCCAGACTGATTTCAACTGATTGGCCATAATTTCTTTACAAATGTGTCCCAGTAATCTAGTCACTTTTTATTGGGAATGAAGGGTTCGCTTCGGACCAGAGTTGTTGTTCGTTTACAAATTAAGGTTGGAGAAAATCCAGCTCTCTTTGGATTTTGAGCTGTAGCAGATGAACAAGGTGTGATATGTGGTGAATGGTTAAGGGGAGATAATCAAGTTCTGATTTTCGATTGTGAGCTGTAGTGGATGAACACGGGGAGATAATCAAGTTTTCCCTTTGAAATTGTAGATGTATTATATTGAAGGGGAGATAATCCAGTTATGTCTTTGGATTTTGAACTGTAGCAGATGATAACCATGTTCTCTTTTGGTTTATAGTTGAAGAACTTGTTTAATGCATTTCTGTAAATTGATTTCAAGGAGGAGGGAGAGACGGATAATTCCCTGAGCTCGTTTGAGAACTCGGAAACCAGAGGACTTCTTGAAAAAAATCTTAACAACGAAAGAAGTGACCAAGAGGAAGTAAGACAATTGGATTTAAATATATGCATACATGCATGTACACCTGAGCTTCAATAACTCATTCATCCCTGAAGTCACATTTGAACTCTTCCATTTCAACAGTTGGAATAGTCCGTTATGAAATTTCAGGGGTGAATGAGTTAAGGAAGCCAATTTTAATGCTCGTTGTACCACCATATATCCAGACTGATTTCAACTGATTGGTCATAATTTCTTTACAAATGTGTCCCAGTAATCCAGTCACTTTTTATTGGGAATGAAGGGTTCGCTTCTGACCAGAGTGGTTGTTCGTTTACAAATTAAGGTCGGACCTAGTATTCTGATGCTGCTTTCAGGCGAACCTTGACGAAGCCTTCCAAGGTGTACATAAACAGTTGCAGGTCCCCTAGGATTTATACCCAGAAATGTGGCATTTAAACCAGTTGTTCAGCATAAATAAATGGGCCCTAGGTGGCTGGATTATTTAGGCTATATTGTATATATAAAGGATCTTGCACTTGTGTCCATGCCCTATGTAATTTATTAAAGGAGTTTTATAATTTCATATGACACAAGCCAAGTGTTAAATTGTATCAAATTTTTGAAATCCTTTAATAAATTCAAAATGACATTGACAATAAATAGTGTAAGATTCTATCTTATCACATAACATTCATAATTTGACAAAAACATTGGAACACAATTATATGATATCAGCTTTCTTAATAGGGCAAAACCAAAGTACTCTGATCATAGTACGTATTGTCATTCCGCCCTGTACAAAGTAGTTCCAGATTTCTTTTGATAATGAACAGATTTAAATGTAATACAAATAATAATGACAGAATAAACATTTCAAATTCATTTAAAATGACAGTAAATGTGTCGTGTGATTTAGTAAATACAAGTAATACATTTAGTGGCGTAGGAATAAGTTTCGTCGGTTTTGACCAATCGCAGCACCTTTAGGTTTTATTACACATGTTTATTACCATATTTATGACATGGCCGTATGATATAACAAATTGGGTCGGTAATGTGATAAACAACATTTCCCCTATAACTGCTGGTTCATCTGTTGTTAATTTCACTGTAAAATAACATTATGCAGAGTGTTAAGTCAAACTGGTAAAATTTCAACACATCACATTTTGATCTAGTTTTCTTTTAATTAGGAAAGTTTGATTTAAAAATTTACTACGGTTTCTATGATATATTTGTATTACCAGATTAAACATATGTAGAATTCAAATGAATTTTAAATGGATAATTTCACAAAAATTTAAACCTGTAAAAAATTGATGCTTTTACATTAAGTGATCAATATACATGTATATATTTCAGTCACGGGGAAAGGAGGAAAAAGAATTGGAAGAAGCTGAAGACCTACAAGGAGGATCTTTGTTGGAAACGGATGGTGGACATGGGGCGGACATTGATGGGGTAAGGCTATTCACTTACATTTAATATAAAAATAATTTTTCAGAAATTTTTGCAAGTCTAATTAAAATTTGATTTTTGCATCACTCCCGTTGACCAATATGACAATAGAAGATCCAACAACGTCCTGTTAAGATCACGTTCAGGTGACTTTGCATTACGAAGCAAGTATCAATTTGTTTATAAAGTCCAAATTTATCAATATTCATGTGTTAAATGTATGTCATGTGGAATCACAGAAGCTTTGTTTAGTTCAAATAAGTAAAATATATTCGGACATACAGAATTTGACGTTACACATACAATGTTCCCTTCTTAGTGTTCACTTTTCACTAATATAGCTTTGTTTAGTTCAATAAATTAAAATATATTCTGATGAAGGAAATTTGACATCATAATGTACCCATGTTAATGTTCAACCTTATTCACTTAATTAGGTTGTAATTCTGACATACCATGTGTTTATCATATTAACCCTTTCACCCCTGTGTAACTTGAGTGGACTCTACCATACATTGATATGGATAAGTCTATTATGGTATTCGGTGGTGAAAGAGTTAATTGTATAGAAATTATTGTTTGATCTATATTTCTAACATTAAGGATCCCCGTATAACTGCCTGTCGGTGCCAAAAAACTGAAACTATGAAACATTTTTGGACGGAAAAGTTTACCATGCGTGACCTTTACATGTATAAAAAAATAACAATAGGGGTATAATAAACAAAAAACAATTGTAACGCCTACCACCTACAACTTTTGGAAGACTTTGTCAGTGGGACCAACGCTTATGTCATATTATCATTTGTATTGTTAACTCATTAACTCATTCACCCCAGAAATTTCATAATGAACTATATATTCCAACCTTTGAATTGGAAGAGTTCAAATGTGCTTTCAGGGGGGAATGAGTTAATATTTGTAATGACTATTTAAAATTTGTAGAATGTTGAACCTGAGGATAACCCTGAACTGTTTTCACTGCTGAACAGCTTTTTGGACGAGAAGAACGGAGTTCAAGAACAGGTATGATCATACTTTTTTTTACAACATTAATTATGCAACTAATAATCTATCATGATTATATATAAATATGGAAACTTAAGATCTAGAATCTTTGTAGAGGTTCTGTTCTGTTCCCTTATTCTACACCCAATGGTACATTTACATATTCCCAATAATTTCTTCATATTTGACTCTTTTTCTCTGACCTCTTACATATACGTAAATGCTGATGTGCAATAGTGGTTTAGAAATGTCTTGCATCAAGGTTGCTTACTAAAAATAGATGGGTGGGGGTCAGGGGGTAGGGGAAGATGGGGCTACATTTATTATCTTAGAACCCAAAAGAAACATTATGAAAATGTTCTTGTTACACAACCAATAAGTGTTTCTATGTGACGTTTCTCTGACTAGTGCGATATGTACACTGTCACCTTCATCAGACAATGACCAGTGAAGGGTATGCACACAAAGGTGTAAAATGTGTATGAGTTGTCCACAAATTGATGTCGATTGGCTACGCTGGAAACGTATATGTACAATAGTTATCTATGTACCGAAATGACTCTATTCACCTACACTTTGTTTAAAATTTGGAATACACTGTAGTGGGTCAGTTCTAAATCGATGAGGGGGCTCAATTTCCCTATCTTTTACTCTCAGGCATGAAAGAGTCTTATATTCCTGCATGACCGTGGCTTTAACAAATTAAAATTATTTCTTAAAAGGAAAACCATACCATGTGGGACTATTTTTTGAGTAAGTATGAAATTAACAAAATATAATCAAGTGTTCAGAGTGTAAAAATATGATCAGGGATTTGAACCCCAGACTTCAGATTGTTATACTGAAGGGAAGGCTACTCTGTATTAAATTCTGTGTGGAATTCATTGGAAATGCAACATTTCAGATTTATATTGCCTTCATTATATTTTAGGGTGCTGGAATGAACCAAGCTTACAAAGCACAGAAGGATGGAATGGACTCCGACAGACTGACACATGAACAGAAAGTAGAATTCGGCTTAGAGTCTGAAAATGTAAGGCCTCTTGTTTGTTGCAGTGTAGAACCATGTGCACCCACGGTAGTTTTATCAAGACTCATCGGCCTTGTCCGGTATTTTGTTAGGCCAATAAACGATCAATCGACTAAAGGAAGCATGCAGAGCTGAATACTCTTTCTGGAAATTTCTCTCTTTACTCCTTTGGATGTGGAAGCAAATTAAAGTAACATTTTATCACATGACCAAGAATGCTTGTAATATTCCTGAACACTTTTTTCTCTGGCATTGTTGCTATACCCGTAGTTCATTTTCTTGCACCATAATTTCTTTTTTTTAATATTTAAAAAAGGAGACACGTGCTTGACCTACTGGAAGTGCTTTCATTTAGTATTGAATTTCTTATTGTTTCTTTGCTTTTTATTTCGCACAAAGTAAGTGATTTATATTTAAATTATCAATCTGTTATACTTTTTAATTGATACAGTAATTACAAAACATTCTATAAATGCTGTACAGCAAGATAATATTTGACAGTAACTTTAATTTTTTTTCCACTTTTGTTTTTCAGCCAGGCGAGGAAAAGAGGAGTTTTGTCACTAACACAACCGTTTTTTGGCCCGGAGGCATTGTACCATACGAAATCAGCAGTACTTTCTGTGAGTAAATAGTATATCGATTTATTGTTGACATACATACAATAACTAATGATTTGAGCGCGAGACTCGCAAGAGTTACTTCAGAAAAAAGATAATTAGATAAAGATATAATTTCTTTTAAATGTTGCTAGCGTTGTCCGGATTGTAATACATTGTCATGTGTAAACCTCTTATAAAGTATCAATAAATCTTCCATATTGATTCCAAAGAAGTAAATAGAGGCTACAGAATAACACAAATGAAATCATACAATGTAATATGCAATATTGTTTNACAAACACAAATACCATAATGTACATTATTACAAACACAAATACCATAATGTACATTATTACAAACACAAATACCATAATGTACATGATTACAAACACAAATACCATAATATACATTATACAAACACAAATACCATAATGTACATTATTACAAACACAAATACCATTATGTACATTATTACAAACACAAATACCATTATGTACATTATGACAAACACAAATACCATAATGTACATTATTACAAACACAAATACCATAATGTACATTATTACAAACACAAATACCATAATGTACATTATTACAAACACAAATACCATAATGTACATTATTACAAACACAAATACCATAATGTACATTATTACAAACACGTTGTACAGTATTACGTGGTTTAATGAGGGGTCAGACCCCCGGAGGAAATTAAGAGGGGGAAAAAAATGACAAAAATTTGGATGATCATTATTGCGACATTATTAATCTGCCCTTTAAACATATGCTACTGTTTGAGAAATTGGTCCATTGCGAGTACTTTTTAATACACACCGTATATGCATTGATTGCTTTGATAAATCATTTTGAAAAGTAAACCATACCTTGTTGACTGTGCAATAATACAGATAAAATAATCAAAATACAATCCGCATAAGTTTATCCCGAGTGTACAAATCTGATAGGGGCTAGAAAGGGATTTGAACACCTGGGTCTGTATTCATGAAACCATCCCATGCTGGAAAGGGATGGAAACCTTGGCCTGTATTCATGAAACCATCCCATGCTGGAAAGGGATTGAACCCTTGGCCTGTATTCATGAAACCATCCCATGCTAGAAAGGGATTGAACCCTTGGCCTGTATTCATGTAACCATCCCATGCAAGACAGGGATTGAAACCTTGGCCTGTATTCATGAAACCATCCCATGCTGGAAAGGGATGGAAACCTTAGCCTGTATTCATGAAACCATCCCATGCTGGAAAGGGATGGAAACCTTGGCCTGTATTCATAAAACCATCCCATGCTAGAAAGGGATTGAACCCTTGGCCTGTATTCATGAAACCATCCCATGCTAGAAAGGGATTGAACCCTTGGCCTGTATTCATGAAACCATCCCATGCTAGAAAGGGATTGAACCCTTGGCCTGTATTCATGAAACCATCCCATGCTAGAAAGGGATTGAACCCTTGGCCTGTATTCATGAAACCATCCCATGCTAGAAAGGGATTGAACCCTTGGCCTGTATTCATGAAACCATCCCATGCTAGAAAGGGATTGAACCCTTGGCCTGTATTCATGAAACCATCCCATGCTAGAAAGGGATTGAACCCTTGGCCTGTATTCATGAAACCATCCCATGCTAGAAAGGGATTGAACCCTTGGCCTGTATTCATGAAACCATCCCATGCTAGAAAGGGATTGAACCCTTGGCCTGTATTCATGAAACCATCCCATGCTAGAAAGGGATTGAACCCTTGGCCTGTATTCATGAAACCATCCCATGCTAGAAAGGGATTGAACCCTTGGCCTGTATTCATGAAACCATCCCATGCTAGAAAGGGATTGAACCCTTGGCCTGTATTCATGAAACCATCCCATGCTCGAAAGGGATTTGAACCCTAGGCCTGTATTCATGAAACCATCCCATCCTAGAAAGGGATTGAACCCTTGGCCTGTATTCATGAAACCATCCAATGCTGTAAAGGGATTTGAACCCTAGGCCTGTATTCATGAAACCATCCAATGCTCAAACTCAGATTCTGTGCTGAATGCGATTTTCTTATTCCGTGATAAATTTAAAAAAAATGTATTTTTTTCTCAATAATCAAAATAGTTTTGGACACACTAAAAGCGGAAATATCTTTTTTCAATACCTACACTTGATCTTTTTGTTGTGTCGCATGATTGAAGCGAGTCACAAGAAAGTTGATTTGAGCACAGAATCCTGGATGATGATGCTTGAGCATGAGAAAGATTTTATGAACACAGACCCCCAGGACTTCCCGGCCTGTGTACAGGAAACCGTTATCATGCTCAAGCTGGGCTTTTATGCTGGAGCCTTACTTCTTGTTCCTGTTATGAATAAATAGAAATAATCTTAGTTTGTCATTGATTTGGAAAATATATTTGAAGAGACTTGAAGCTAAATACTGTTTTCAAAGTTTGCATTTGACTTTTGATCGTTTGATATGATTTATGCGAGTTACAAGAAATTTGGTTTGAGCACAGAATCCATGCCTGAGCTTGAAAATGATTCCATGTTAAGCTACTGTTCTTTAACTGGCTGAACAATGAGAAATTAAGGGGAGGTTACTGTGTATACCAAAACCCACGGTGCAGTGGGACAGGGATCCTTACAGAAATTAAGGGGAGGTAACTGTGTATACCAAAACCCACGGTGCAGTGGGACAGGGATCCTTACAGAAATTAAGGGGAGGTTACTGTGTATACTAAAACCCACGGTGCAGTGGGACAGGGATCCCTATAGAAATTAAGGGGAGGTTACTGTGTATACTAAAACCCACGGTGCAGTGGGACAGGGATCCTTACAGAAATTAAGGGGAGGTAACTGTTTATACCAAAACCCACGAAGCAGTGGGACCGGAATCCTCCAAAGTAATTCCTCCCAAGACCATGAATTCAATATAAATTACCTTATTTTTGAAGAATTATTTGGTTTATTATGATATTGAATGAACAAAACAATTTGCATTAATTCATGGGTTCCATTACAACAAAATAACTCTGCTTTGGAAACAGAGTTTTTTTTAGCTCACCAAAGGGCCAAGTGTGCTTATGCCATAGTGCGGCGTCCTTCGTCCGTCTGTCGTCCGTCAGTCGTCTACTTTTTACTTTAAACAACTTCTTCTGAATAACTAAGAGGCCCAGACTGATGATATTTGGCCATTAGCATGCTTGGATGAAGGACTACCAAGTTTGTTCAAATGAATGATCTTTGCCCATTTTCAAGGTCATAGGGGGGAAAACATGTTTAAACTTTTAAACAACTTTTTCTAAAAAATCAAGAGGCCTAGGGTGATGATATTTGGCCTGAAGTGTGTTGGCATGAAGGGCTACAAAGTTTGTTCAAATGAATTACCTTTGCCCATATTCAAGGTCACAGGGGTTATTTGTCTTAAAACACTAAAAGACAACTTCTTCTGAATTACTTGGGCATCCAGGGTGATTGCTTGTTCATGTGAATGACCTTGACACACTGTCAAGGTCACATATGGTCCACCGTGCATAAATCTTAAAAGTCATCTTCTCAATTAACAAAAGGTATAGGGCCATTAGGGGGGTGATATTTGACAAGTTGCATTCTGGGATGAAGGCTATAAAGTTTGTTCAATTAATAGTCCCTGTTTGACTTTCAAGGTCACAGGGGTCAAATGTGTTGAAATCGTTTAACAGGTTCTTCTGAATGTCTTAAGTTAAGACACTGATATTTTGCCTGTAGCTTTATTTAAGTCCACTTTTAAGGTTACAATTGTGAGATTTATTCCAGAAGAGCGATGCAGGCTCATTGGACCTCTTTTATATTTTCTGGTATAGCTTAATTTTTTCAAAAAAAATCTGAAAACATACTTTGCAGAAATTTTACAAGTTTAATGAAGATGAAATAAAAAAAATAAAAAGCAGTGGTCTGAGAGTAAAACTGCGGTTGAAAAAGGCCAATATTTGAATCTCGGACTTCAGTTTATTACCTACTGTCGCTAAATTACTTTGAAGTCTAAAGTCTTTGGGACCCTGACCTAGTTATATCCCCCCAACAAAAATTTACAAGGGGAGGTAACTGTGTGTAGGGAGAACTCTAGTGTTTTGCACTTGTAGTGGGACAGTAATCCTTACCAGTAATTTCACAATCAGACATAACTGCCCATATTGTACATTCATTATTAATGAGATAATTATTATTTGCAGAGGTATTGATGCATGACTTGTTCATGGAATGAAAATACTGTACTTTCACCATTTTTTAAATTTCGCCTTTTCTCGTCTTCCACAATGAGGGCAAATTTATCATGCTAGCATATGTATTAGTACACAGCATGGAGTTTCCCAGTATACAGTAAATTGACTACACGCTTGGTTATTAGGAAAATTTTGGTAACTTAACTCTTTATTTAATGTACTGATATAAGGGAGATAGTCTTGAATCACAATACAAAATACTTACCATGCATTTATTTACATTTCAGCAAGTGCCGAGAAAACAGTTATCGAAACAGCAATAGCAGAAATGGCAACCAAGACCTGCGTCCAATTTTTACCCAAGGCTCAAACTGATTCAAATGCACTAGGACATAATTCTTACATAAGTTTTGTCAGTGAGAGGTTAGTGTAAATTTTGTACCTAATCAGTTTGCATACCGTGCTATGATTTGTTGATTATTTCTGCACCATTATGCGATCAATTTTGACAGAATCCTAAAGCTTGATCATATTTCACCAAGATCAAGTTTGGGCTATTTCTCAGAAAGGAATGGAGGGATCTTTCTCAAATTCCACATGAAGGTTCCCCATGGTCCTAAGTTACAAATAACGAATGTTCCCCATGGTCCTAAGTTACAAATAACGAATGTTGGGACTGAAAGGAAAATCAAGATGGCGGACAGCCAGCCATCTTTAATTTGAGAACGAAAGTTTGTTAGTGTTATTTCTCAGAATGTTCAGGAGGGGTCTTTCTCAAATTTCACATTAAGGTTCCCCGTGGTTCCATGTTCTGCATTTTGGGGATGATTGGAAAACCAAAATGGCCGCAGGTGGTAGTATTGAATATTGCTCAAAGAATTGAAGGGATCTTTCTAAAAATTCACATAAGAATTCCTCTTCATTCTTGGTTATGCATATTAAATTTTGTGACTGAACTGAAAACCAGGATGCGGACGGTTAGGTTTTTTTGTTATCGCTATTCCTCAGAAAGTACTGGAGGGATCTTCCTCAAATTCCACACGAAGGTTCCCCATTGTCCTACGTTACAAATAACGAATGTTGGGTCTGAAAGGAAAACCAAAATGCAGACATGCGGTTATCTTGTTACAGTTTAAGTTTGTTATCGCTATTTCTCAGAATGTACTGGAGGAATCTTTCTCAAATTTGTTATGTCAGTTCCCTTTGGTCCGTTGTTGTTCATGTAAACTTTTGAAAGATACCTGCTATGGAAATTACTGTATAATGAAAGAAGGCTAAATTATGATAGTTAACATACACTCAATTTTCCTTAGAATAAAATGCACTGTTTTGTCGGTTACCATATCTGACATACCTGATTCGATGTAGTTAATGCCAAGGGCACTTAAGGATCCCTGTCCCACTGCAAGGTCATTTTTCCTATAAACAGTAACCTCCCCTTAACTTCCTTTTGGCGATAACTGTAACACTTGCGCTAAGACACTTGAGATGACCCGAGGTAGCTCAGTCGGTTAGAGCGATAGTATTTCAATCTGAAGTCCTTGGTTCGAATCCCAGTCTAGCCCCGATTACTTTTTTATCATTCAGAACAATGTTGTTAATTGTATTTTGTTTAACATCCCCTCGCAATGAAAAATTTGAGGGGATATAGGAATCCGCCCATGATACACGTACGTGTGTACATGCATGTATGTTACACTCTTTGTCATCGCTCTAGCGACTTCATGAAACTTTATACAAGTGGTTGGTGTGACAATACCTTGGTCAAGTTCCTGTTTCGGGTTACTGCGTTAAAGGTCAAGGTCAATATTTTTAGAAAATACTTTTAACATTGCTTTAGCCACTTCATTTCCTATTTCATATGTGACAATGTGTGAATGCGAGGGGATTTGTATCGCTTGTTATGCTTTGTTTCATCTTTATTATTTCTCATTAAAGTCCCACAAGATATGATTTTGTAATTTTCTTTTCGGGGAAATGATTTATGAAGTGATAGTCATGTCAGAAAAACAGTTTTTGGCGGTTGTAAGGGGATCCTTTAACATCAGCTTACAGATGAGATTCTACCACAATGCAACTAGCAATGTTAAAAAGTGCATGATGCCATTTTATTAGGCAGTCTCCTACATGAGAGAAAGATTTGTATTAAAGAATTATATATAGTACAATTTCATTGCAGTGGCTGTTGGTCTTATGTTGGGAGAGTGTTCAGTAATAAACAATTAATAAGCTTGCAGAAAGGCGGATGTGTTACTGTAAGTATAAATATAGCAGGATAATGCCAGATAATCTCCCTTCCTAACACCAGATTATCTCCCTTCCCTATTGTACTGCCAGATTAACTCCCTTCCCTATTTCCCTAGTGTTCAACCAGATTATCTCCCTTCCCTAATGCATAAAAGAATACATGGGAATTTCGCTTTCCTTATGCTCTTCCAGATTACTTCCCTTTGCTGGTGCTCTACCAGATTATCTCCCTTCCCTAATGTATAATACAATATCGGGGAATGTCAGTTCTCTATTCTCTACCAGATTATTCCCTTCCCTAATGCATAATACAATACCAGGGAATGTCAGTTTCCCTATTCTCTACCAGATTATCTCCCTTTCCTAGTGTTCAATCAGATTATCTCCCTTCCCTAATGCATAATACAATACCAGGGAATGTCAAGTTTCCTTATTCTCTACAAGATTATCTCCCTTCCCTAATGCATAATACAATATCAGGGAATGTCAGTTTCCCTATTTTCTATCAGATTATCTCCCTTCCCTAATTTATAATACAATATCGGGGAATGTCAGTTTCCCTATTTTCTACCAGATTATCTCCCTTCCCTAGTGCATAATACAATATCGGGGAATGTCACTTTCCTTATGCTCTACCAGATTATCTCCCTTTCCTGATGCATAACCAAATGGTCTTGGCCGTAATTTCATCATAAAAAAAGATAATTCAGTTAGATTTGCATTTCTTGTAAGATGCATCTCTTGGAGGAAATGTTCTACAAAGCTTGAAGTTAAATACGTGTACTACATTCAGTGTTTGGAACAGGGCATCATACAAATTAAGATAAGATTTTAACTCATTTTCTTTAATATGCTTTGCAAGAAGAAATAATTTGGTATAAAATGGCTTGAAAAAATTCATAGTTAGAATTTTTGGCAAAATTAATATTATAATGAATAATTGTATAACTTCATAAATAAATACTTTTAGTAGGTTTTCAGGAAAACATATCGGTTCAGTAGGATGAACTTATTGAGGTATGGAAATTGAGATACTTGCGAGATTTGTTTAGCAGTAGTTACTGGTCTTGTTATTTTTACAGAACAGCATTGCGATTCACGAGATGTGCCACGCCATTGGTCAGTGGCACGAACAGTCTCGCGCTGATAGGGACAACTACGTTACCATGCTATGGGACAACATCAAGGGAGGTCGAAGTAATATCAACATGGTCAAACAAAAAACACTTGACAATAACAATTATGACCACGAGTCTGTTCTACAATACAGTCTTGGGGTAAGTATTTAATTAGCAGATGTACCGTATAATGGGTGATTTACTTAGGCTAAAAAAAATGAATTTTGACCCAAAGTTAGAGAATTTAATTGAAGCGGACTACATTTTTGCGATCTCCATATGTGAAAGACCTAAGTTTTTGCAATGTTCTAGCACAGATGGGACACTCGTCAGATAAAGTGTCACAACAATCAAATGAATACACTTTATTGTAGCATATTGAACAACAAGTCGGTGTATTTGGTAAAACAAATCGTCAATATAACTATTAGATTGTTGGCACTAAATTGAAGAGTGGTTAGGAAATATATGCAGGAAATTGAATCATATTGAATTTGAGGAGGTTGCCATTCATCTATAAATCCGACGCCGATGATTCCTTTTCAGAGCTACAGTAGATTTAATAATTGGTAGGTACACTGGACTTGGGTATAAATTGGCTGTAAAACTTGAGCATGCATTGCATAAAGAAAACCTGAAGATAAAACAATCTTGACAACACATTCTAATAGCCAAAAGCAAACATCTGGCAAAAATATAGGATAAAAACGGGCTCTTGAGTGGAATAAACATAAAGACAACATATACCGAGGATAAGGAGGGGACTGTGGGGCCATTGACCCTTCAAAACTGAAATTGATCCCTCAATGTTCCAATTTTCATTTAATTTTACATAGAATGGCACTTCTTAATTGTGATATTGACTAAAAATTGCTGAAAATAGGCCACTGCTCTCAAATTCCAAATTTTCCCGGTGTACCAAAAATAGATTAGTTTTTTTTACCAGGACTCTCACTCTAGTAAAATATCGAGGCCACTACCGGTGGATATAATTTTATCCTTGAGCAAGCTACAAATGTATGTGTTAATTATAGATTATCACACTGTATTCTATAATTTTATCCCTGTGGGAGCTATGTGATAATTATAGATTATCACACTGTATTCTATAATTTTAACCTTGTGCGAGCTATGTGATAATTATAGATTATCACACTGTATTCTATAATTCTAACCTTGTGCGAGCTATGTGATAATTATAGATTATCACACTGTATTCTATAATTGTATCCTTGTGCGGGCTATGTGATAATTATAGATTGTTACACTGTTTTCTATAATTCTAACCTTGTGGGAGCTATGTGATAATTATAGATTATCACACTGTATTCTATAATTCTAACCTTGTGCGAGCTATGTGATAATTATAGATTATCACACTGTATTCTATAATTTTATCCTTGTGCGAGCTATGTGATAATTATACATGATCACACTGTACTCTATAATTCTTACCTTGTGCGATCTATGTGATAATTATAGATTATCACACTGTATTCTATAATTCTAACCTTGTGCGAGCTATGTGATTATTATAGATTGTAACACTGTATTCTATAATTTTATCCTTGTGCGAGCTATGTGATAATGATAGATTATCACACTGTATTCAATAATTTTATCCTTGTGCGAGCTATGCATTCTATAATTCTAACCTATGCGAGCTATGTGATAATTATACATGATCACACTGTACTCTATAATTCTAACCTTGTGCGAGCTATGTGATAATTATAGATTATCACACTGTATTCTATAATTCTAACCTTGTGCGAGCTATGTGATCATTATAGATTGTAACACTGTATTCTATAATTCTAACCTTGTGCGAGCTATGTGATAATTATAGATTATCGCACTGAATTCTATAATTCTAACCTTGAGCGAGCTATGTGATCCTTATAGATTGTAACACTGTATTCTATAATTCTAGCCTTGTGCGAGCTATGTGATAATAATAGATTATCACACTGTATTCTATCATTCTAACATTGTGCGAGCTATGTGATCATTATAGATTGTCACACTGTATTCTATCATTCTAACATTGTGCGAGCTATGTGATAAATATACATGATCACACTGTACTCTATAATTCTAACCTTGTGGGAGCTATGTGATAATTAAAGATTATCACAATGTATTCTATAATTTATCTTTGTGCGAGCTGTGTGATAATTATAGATTGACACACTGTATTCTATCATTCTAACGTTGTGCGAGCTATGTGATAATTATAGATTATCACACTGTATTCTATCATTCTAACCTTGTGCGAGCTATGTGATAATTAAAGATTATCACACTGTATTCTATAATTTTATCACAAGGAACAAACTCTGTAGTCGAAACGTTATTCAAGCGAATTCTATTCAAGGGAAGATAACAACATTGTCGAAATGGTAATCAGGGGCAGGTGACTCTTAACACTGCCAAACGACAGTGGAATTCTTTAGTGTTTTTCTCTGGCTGGGACGGGGATCCTTAAGTTCTCAAGTCGTTCTCAACTTCTTCTCATACTGACAACCAGTGATAATCAATTGATCATGCTACTGGTAGATGGTATAAAGTAGTATATAGATGATAAGTGTTCTAACGACAAACACTGAAAATACTGTGTATCATCTCTATACCAATAGCTGTTATATTTCTCCATTTAATAACATGAACTGATAAACCATGTAGAAAAACATATTTATCATATGAATACCGTGTTATGCAGTGTCATAAAGCCATCACACAAATTACGTTTATGTAACGTGTGTAATATGGCTCCGGAAATGACGTCACAATTATGAGGCGGCCAAGTGCAAAATACTCGTTTCAGATCACAGTTTACTTTGTATTATATGATAAAAAGAATCTGTCATTCGTTTGCCTGCATATTAGATTGATGATACTCGTTTTAATTTTTTCATATTTGCTCGCCGGAGGCTCCCAAACAAGAAAAATCCAAAACATGTATCATAAATCTAATATGAAGGAAAAAAACAGATTGGAATCGGACTAAGTTTGCCTACAGCGGGACAGTGATCCTTAATCCTAAAATCTACACCGTTGGGACAGTGATCCTTAATCCTAAAATCTACACTGTTGGGACAGTGATCCTTAATCCTAAAATCTACACCGTTGGGACAGTGATCCTTAATCCTAAAATCTACACCATTGGGACAGTGATCCTTAATCCTAAAATCTACACCGTTGGGACAGTGATCCTTAATCCTAAAATCTACACCGTTGGGACAGTGATCCTTAATCCTAAAATCTACACCGTTGGGACAGTGATCCTTAATCCTAAAATCTACACCGTTGGGACAGTGATCCTTAATCCTAAAATCTACACCGTTGGGACAGTGATCCTTAATCCTAAAATCTACACCGTTGGGACAGTGATCCTTAATCCTAAAATCTACACCGTTGGGACAGTGATCCTTAATCCTAAAATCTACACCGTTGGGACAGTGATCCTTAATCCTAAAATCTACACTGTTGGGACAGTGATCCTTAATCCTAAAATCTACACCGTTGGGACAGTGATCCTTAATCCTAAAATCTACACCATTGGGACAGTGATCCTTAATCCTAAAATCTACACCGTTGGGACAGTGATTCTTAATCCTAAAATCTACACCGTTGGGACAGTGATCCTTAATCCTAAAATCTAAACCATTAGGAAAGTGGGACAGTGATTCTAAATCCTTAAATCTAAACCATTGGGAAAGTGGGACAGTGATTCTTAATCCTGAAATATACACCGTTGGGAAAGTGGGAAAGTGGGACAGTGATTCTTAATCCTAAAATATACACCGTTGGGAAAGTGGGACAGTGATTCTTAATCCTAAAATCTAAACCGTTGGGAAAGTGGGACAGTGATTCTTGATCCTAAAATCTAAACCGTTGGGAAGAAAATTAAATTAAATTTGAACACACAGCTACGTTTTTTATTTCCACACCAACTTGCAATTGGTTCAAGTCGAATATGTTGAAATTTTACAGACGTTTTTGTTGCATCCTTGGCCTCTATGTACAACCCTGACTTAATAATAATAATAATAATATACAACATTTATATAGCGCCCTATATTATAAATTTGTAAAATTACTCTAAAGCGCTTTACAACAAATGGATAATAGTAATGGTTATAATTGTGAAAACAAAAAACAAAGGCTTACAATCACTTTTATACATTTAAGCAAGCAATGTGCACATATTCAATGATTGAACAAATAAAAGGGTGGTATTTACATGATGTCTTTGCAAAGATTCTAGAATGCAGACGTGAAGATGTGAGTTTTGATGTCCCTCTTGAACTTGGGCAGGGTATTTGACTTTCTAATAGCAGATGGTCAGCTATTCTGCAACGTAGCCGAAACCCTCCCAAAGCTTCTGTTTCCCTAGGTCACAGTACGAGATTTTGGGACACACAACAAAGATTCTGACTCCGACCGCAGTGATCGTGACGGCTGATACAGGGTAACAAGCTCCTGTAGGTACTGAGGAGCTGTTCCATTCAGTGCCTTGTATGTGTACACCAGAATTTTGTACTGCGACCTGTATTGTACAGGTAACCAGTGCAATGAATAAAGCACAGGTGTGATGTGCTGTCTCTTTCGAGTACGAGTAACTAGCCGTGCTGCAGTGTTCTGGACCCTCTGCAGACGACTAGTTAGTTTGTCAGAGATACCACAGAGCAGGGCGTTACCATAATCCAACCGAGAGGTAACAAGTGAATGCACCAAAATCTTGCATGCATCAGCAGTTAAAAACGCCGAATACAGCCGATGTTCCTGATCTGGTAGTAACAGGATTAGGCAATAGCGTTCACTTGTTTCTCCATGTTCAGTGAACTATCAAAGTATACACCTAGGCTTTCAACAGCTGGAACAATCTCAATAGTTCTGGCACCGACATTGAGCTGGAGAGCCATTGTATGCCGACACTTTGGGGAAAAGACGATTAGTTCCGTCTTTTCCTGATTAAGCTGAAGCATGTTGGCGTTCATCCAGATACTGATATCTGTCAGACAAGCTTCCATACTTTCTGAGACTGTATTCCAACTGTCCATTTTTTATAACCATGTAAATTTGTGTGTCATCGGCATAGCAATGATACCGAATGCTATGGCGACGACAAATCTCTCCAATCGGTTTGGAGTACATACAATATTTCCGTGGTCCTAACACCGACCCTTGAGGAACCCAAAATCTAGTACTTTGTCATGTGAGGTAGAAGATCTGATGGCAACACACTGTCGTCGTTCACTCAGGTAAGACTGTATCCAGCATAGTTCTGTATCAGTCACTCCATAAGAGTACTCCAGACATTTATTAAGTATGCCATGGTCGATGACGTCAAATGCAGCTGACAAGCACCGCTCTGCACTTGTTATCCAATGCAGAAGCTATATCATTATGTACATGTAGGAGGGCCGTATCAGTAGAGGTTTCCATGTGGTAGGCCGAATGCATGTTGTCATGAAGACTGTTTGCATGGATATGAACCTCTAAACGCCGGGACACAACCTTCTCCAAGATCTTAGACAGAAAAGGCAGATTTGAAACTGGGCGGTTGTTTTTCAACTCCTCCTTGTCCATTCCAGGCTTCTTTAACAATGGTCTGACATGTGCCTTCTTGAAACATAATGGAACCTTTGACTCAGCCAATGATTTGTTCATGATTGAGGTAATCAAAGGAAGCAGTGCTTCAAGTCATTGCTCTAATAGGTCTGTAGGCAGTGGATCAAGCTCACAGGACTTTGATTGCGAGGTCATGATAATGTTGCGTAACTCTACCTGGGTTGTTAGTGATCAAATGCAATGTCAACAGTCATGACAGAGATGTCAATGTCAGCAGAGGTGTTCACTTCGGCAATATTTTTCCTGATTGAGCTGATTTTATTCAGAAAGTAATCACTGAACTTGCTTGCTAAGTCTTTTTCAGAATTACAGTTTGGTAATTTTACCTTTCTGTCCCATTAGGTTTTTGGTGAGTCTAAAAAGCTGTCTATTATCCTTGCCGCATTCTTCGATTCTTTGATTGAAAGAGTAGTGAACCAACTAGCCGACATTGCTCTCTATAACTCTGTTAATTTGGTTATCCTTGAGTGATAATTGATTCGCCTCAAGTTCTAAGACAGACAGCCCACAGTCTATTTCAAATTTCTCGGCCCCTTCAGAGTGTTCACCTTCCCTTATTTGATAGGATGACGCTGGTGGAAGATATCCCCTTTCAAAATTGAGTTGGGTATGGACGGCACCATTTTCTCTGCCATTCATGGACATTTTTTAAATGATAGTGCCAGCACAGAGCACAGCCTGTTGGCCGTCATTTGTACTTTAAAGTGTTTAACTGACGTCGCTGAGGCGCTTATAAATACATTGCGGTCGCGGTTAAAACAATTCTGGATTTGATCGCAGACATGAAATGCAATTTTAGTTTTAAAATAATTTGAATCGGCACCAAAATGCACATTGTTTTAATAGGCCTAATCAATATTTTTACAATTATTTTTTCAGGCATTTAGCACCAACGGTAAACCGACAATGGAGTTTACCGACAAGCGTTTAGACTTCTTGGCCAACTCTGCAAATGGTCTGACCTTTTACGACGTCAAAGACATTACTGCTGCCTATCAGTGTACAGGTAAGTCCTGTTTTAACTCCTTCACCCATGAAAACACTATTGAACTTTTCCAGTTCAAAGGACCAATGTGACCTTATGCCATACTGTAGCGTCCAACATCCGTTCAGCATCTGCCGTCTGTTGTCCGTACATTAACATTTACTTCACACGACTTCTTGACCACCGATTGGAATTTAACTAAATTTGACTGGAAGTATCCCTTTGTAGTGGAGATTCAAAATTGTACAAATGGTTGGGGTTGAGGGGCAAGGACAAAAAGGATTATTTGGCTATATTGCTATAAAAAACTTCTATTGTAGAAGTATTCACCAGATATCAATCTTATTTGATCAGAAGCATTCATTGGAGGTGGGGATTCAAAATTGTAGAAATGGTTGGGCTGACCCCCCGGGCTATGGGGTGGGGCCAAAAATAGTACATTACTTGGAAATGGTTGAGATCCCCTCCATATAACCATATACACAATTGCTGTATATAAAGAGAAGAATGCACATATGCTTCCAGGATGGCCCTGGGGTCTGGCCCCACCCTTTGGGACATAGACCCTTGGTTATAACTTTGAAAAGGTTGAGAATCCCACCCTAGAACTATATATACAAATGCTGGGCAAAAAAGAAGAATGCAGTCATGATATTAGAATAGACCCTGGGGTCTGGCCACAACCTTCGGAACCTAGCTTCTGAGTCACAGCTTGGAAACAGTTGAGATCCCCACGCTATAACCATATATACAATTGCTGAGTATATAGAGAGGAATGTACATATGCTTCCAGGATGGTTTCGGGGTCTGCCCCACCCTTAGTCTTAACCCCTTGGTCATAACTTCGAAACAGTTAAGATCCCCACCCCAAAACTATATGCAGTAATACCTCACCAACTTCGTACATATTCTTTTTACAAAAAAATGTCCATGTCTCTTCATGGTCATAGTATTTATCCTATCTATTGGTCGAACAGGTGTGGCCTGTCCCGCCTGACAGATATTTTACCTGTGTATAACCGGCAATACCATCGACATGTCTCGAGGCACAGCCTGTGGTCAGCGCTCATTGTGCTTATACAGGTGTCGGCTGGACGTCGGATAATTAGAGGGTTAACGGCAGTATCATTAGTAAATGTATCGTTACCCTGTTGTAGCTTCATTATTATTTTGTGTGCGTATTTATTTTTTCCGGACTATTTTTTGACATTGGTGAATTTGTGGAAGTGTTAATTCACTGGGTCTGGTGTGTAAGTTAAAACCATATTTCGGCATGGCAATATTAAGAGGAAAACACATAGTGGATTCTCGACCAAATTTGAAGGTATTCAAACTTTAATTCGTCGTAATTGTTAATCAGTCAACAAATGATAACAAGGATTCAAGATTTCTTCATTATAAAAAGATCGAGTTCCTCTTGTTTTGATATTTTGTATAACTAACATAGGCAATTTCAGAAGGCGGACTATGCCAAAACGAAAAGTATGTTACACATGAAGCTTTTTAATTTTATTTACTTTCTAAATATCGTTGGCTATATGTTTTCATTGTTTTTAAATCTTATTAAATGCTGTCAACTTGATTAAACTTCTTTTTTCTTCTATCATCTACTATCCGTGATATTTGCCGTGCTTGTACTGCCTGTTGTCCCACCTGATAAAAAATGACGATGTCGGTCGAACCTAGGATTATTCGAATACCATGTATTCCTCAAACTATTGATCTAGACCCTACGAGTTTGAGTTAGCAAGGTTTTACTGGATACAATTGCTGGGCATAAAGAGACGAATGCAGTCATGATATTAGAATTGACCCCGGGGTCTGCCCCACCCTTGCAGACTTGACCCATGGGTCATAAATTTGAAACAGTTGAGATCCCCACCCCAAAACTATAAATACAAATGCTGGGCATAATGAAACAAATGCAGTCATGATATTAGAATTGATCCTGTGATCTGGCCACAACCCTAGGGACCTAGTTTCGGAGTCACAGCTTTGAAACAGTTGAGATCCATATAGACAATACATCTGGCCCATTCCCTTGGATCTTATTTGAAGAATATTTTGCCTTGATTGCTTGGATATCCAGGTGAGCGATACAGGCCCTCTGGCGGCCTCTTGTTACAGTTTTCAAAGCAATGGTTGAAAAAACTTTCCTAAACTCTGCATCAAAAATAGTGGTTAATCTAGAGGTGATAGTGTTAATGTCACCTGTTTCTTGAAACCTTGGGGTAGCAGTGTACAGTAGAAATGGCCTGATCCTGAAAATAAATTGCATGTGTTGAATACACATGGATAGTGGATTCATCCTGCACAACACACCTACATATATATACATATTCATAAACTAAATTATAAATACATTTGTTTAGACAAAATGATATTTATTTTCAAGAAAATTTTCTTCAGATTTCGGACTTGTAAAAACCATAGTAACCATGTAAAAAATTGCAGAAACAAAATTGATTTTTAACCAAAATTGACTCTGTAGATAGGAAAAAATTTGATACATGTAATATAACGGGTTATTCATTGTACAAAAATATCACTCATGGCCACGGTACACTACTGTACACTGCCACCTTAGATAATGTTACTTAAAGCTTAAATTCACCAATGTGAAAGGAAGATCATTCAAGCAGGGTTTTCATGAAGAACAGGTAGCGGGTAGGCCAAAATGACTAGGTTGGTTCTGGTTTTGGTCTGTTCAAATGACCTTTTCCTTATATATTTGCGTAATATTATGTAATTTTACAAAAGTTGGCAAGTTAAAAGTGTCATTTGGTCTTTTGAAATGGAAGTTACTGAAAAGTCTGATCAAGTTGCATTTAAGAAGTGCCTGAAGTGATAATTGATTTGATGAAATACAAAAAAATATTTCTTTTATTAAAAAGAGAAGTTGTTATTCATGGTTCCATTTCCTAATCGAATACCCCCCCACCCGCCCCAAAATTCTTTTCATTCTTAATCGTATCCTTTAACTACATTTCAATATTTTCATGAAATATTTGCAGTTCACAGCCCTGACTAGCCACATGAAATCATTTTATCGTTTTTGCTTCAGGAACTTGTAATGTAAAACTGTGCGAGAACGAAGGTTTCCAAGACCACACCTGCGCTTGTTACTGTCCCGACGGCCTGAAGGGTGACAGATGTGAGCTTGTTGACACCGACAGCAGTATGTATTTTAATCAACACTCCAATTATTATTTGATATTGCCTGGGTTATTGTATTAATTCCCTTTGATGCATGGTGCTCCTATATCTAGGGGCAATTAAGTAACTCGCACCTGGGGGTCCTGTTTCTACTCGTCATGATTTTCCTATTCATTGCATTGTGCACACTTGTGTATAGTGAGCAGGTACTTTATGGGTGTTTTTTTTTTTTAAATTTGAAAGAAAAACTTAATTAAATATTGATTTTTTTTCTGGAACTAAACTGATAGCACCACCCAGGTCGGTCACTAATAAATGTAAATTGAATAAGCACATGTTGGGAAACCGACGCACAAAGGAAAATGGTTAATTCGACCTAACGTTATGTGTTGATTGACACTTTGTGTACGAGAAGTGACATCTGGTATGGACAGGAATGGCTACATCATGACTTCTGAGTACCCATTTTGTTTTTAGTCGCCCCTGGGGGAACCCCAGTGGGGACTATTAATTCGGTTTCAGTCCCAGATTTTGACCTGTTGTCTTGGACTGTTAAGTGTGTGCTTATGTCGGAATTTTACCAGGCGCTAATTACAAGCTCTTGGATAACTCGGATATCAATTTCCTTTTTAAACAGGAATAGCATAAAACCTAAAAGCGTTCCAAATTTCACGTGGGAATTACAAATGACCTAAAGATGTTCCGAGTATGAATCGGGCACCTTTAAGGTTTCCGAAGGGTAAACAGTTATATTATCAATTGCTGTTGATTGATTTAGATATTTTATGTCTGACCAACGACTACCGTTAATATTTGCGTATAGTGCACACTTTTTTAAGGAAAAATGAAATGTCAAGAAAGGGGTGTACACGATACTCAAGAACAATCCAAAACCAGTCCTTTATTTATCGTAAATTTTTAAAAAGGAGTTCTTTGGTAAAATCATGCTGACCTCTTCAATTTTGATGGTAGGAATGTGTCAAACGACATGGGTAAAATGGCTAAGTTAGCAAGTTTGTGTACCGCAAAGAGTCGAGGTCGCGTGATACTATTAACCGACAGGAATTTACAAGGTGACATTATCACCAGACACTATTTTAAGAGAAAAGAAAGAAGACCAATTAATCAAAATATTAAAACCAAATCTCAACAGGCCACAGTAAAATTTTACGCTAGTTTGTCCACCAATCTTGTGACTTCGTGACGTACATCACATTGCTATTGTAGTGTGATGACATGTAATTGTGATGTCACAAAGTTGTTCTTTTGAATAAACCTGAAGAGCCCTGTGAAGGGTGAAAGCAGCTAGTTTTTTAGTCGATCGTTAATCTTATTTTTTCTATATGTATGCATATAACCTATTTGCATTCATACGGGCATGAACATTGAACAAAATGCTGTTCAATCCTTATTTACATATTATGCATTTAGTTTCGATTGGCCTTAATATAAATTTTCCCTTAATTTTTTCAAAGTGAAGTGTCTTGCAAACAAGATTCCTTGAACAGCTTTACATCAGCAAAAGGTTTTATTCTAAAGATTGTCTAGTGTTAATCAAGGAGGGGCAGAAGCTTCAAAGTGACGCTGATCAAATTGCATTCATAGCTCTATGAACACAATTTCTTCTTGTAATGCTTATAGAGGAACTTACAATGGAAATGTAAAAAACTGTATCTGAACCAATATTTATATTTGATATATACATTTGACAGATTGTGGCGGGATCATTGACGTCTCCGGAGGACCAGTAACCATCACAAGTCCTAATTACCCTAATAATTACGATGTGAATGCTCAGTGCACCTGGCTTGTTAAGGTATTCAGGGATTTATAGAACCGGTCACTACCCTAATAAGTAAGATGTGAATGCTCAGTGCGCCTGGCTTGTAAAGGTTTTCAGGGATTAATGGACTCGGTCACTACCCTAATAAGTAAGATCTGAATGCTCAGTGCACCTGGCTTGTTAAGGTATTCAGTGATTTATAGAATCGGTCACTACCCTTATAAGTAAGATGTGAATGCTCAGTGCGCCTGGCTTGTAAAGGTTTTCAGGGATTAATGGACTCGGTCACTACCCTAATAAGTAAGATCTGAATGCTCAGTGCACCTGGCTTGTTAAGGTATTCAGTGATTTATAGAATCGGTCACTACCCTTATAAGTAAGATGTGAATGCTCAGTGCGCCTGGCTTGTAAAGGTTTTCAGGGATTAATGGACTCGGTCACTACCCTAATAAGTAAGATCTGAATGCTCAGTGCACCTGGCTTGTTAAGGTATTCAGGGATTTATAGAATCGGACACTACCCTAATAAGTAAGATGTGAATCCTCAGTGCACCTGGCTTGTAAAGGTTTTCAGGGATTTATTGGATCGGTCACTACCCTAATAAGTAAGCTGTGAATGCTCAGTGCACCTGGCTTTTAAAGGTATTCAGGGATTTATAGAATCGGACACTACCCTAATAAGTAAGATGTGAAAGCTCAGTGCACCTGGCTTGTAAAGGTTTTCAGGGGTTTATGGAATCGGTCACTACCCTAATAAGTACGATGTGAATGCTCAGTGCACCTGGCTTGTTAAGGTATTGAGGGATTTATAGAATCGGTCACTACCCCAATAACTAAGATGTGAATGCTCAGTGCACCTAATGCTCAGTGCACCTGGCTCGTTAAGGTATTCAGGGATTTATAGAACCGGTCACTACCCTAATAAGTAAGATCTGAATGCTCAGTGCACCTGGCTTGTTAAGGTATTCAGTGATTTATAGAATCGGTCACTACCCTTATAAGTAAGATGTGAATGCTCAGTGCACCTAATGCTCAGTGCACCTGGCTCGTTAAGGTATTCAGGGATTTATAGAACCGGTCACTACCCTAATAACTAAGATATGAATGCTCGTTGCACCTTGCTTGTAAAGGTATTCAGGGATTTATAGAATCGGACACTACCCTAATAAGTAAGATGTGAATGCTCAGTGCGCCTGGCTTGTAAAGGTTTTCAGGGATTTATTGGATCGGTCACTACCCTAATAAGTAAGATCTGAATGCTCAGTGCACCTGGCTTGTTAAGGTATTGAGGGATTTATAGAATCGGTCACTACCCCAATAACTAAGATGTGAATGCTCAGTGCGCCTGGCTTGTAAAGGTTTTCAGGGATTTATTGGATCGGTCACTACCCTAATAAGTAAGATGTGCATGCTCAGTGCACCTGGCTTGTAAAGGCTTTCAGGGATTTATGGAATCGGTCACTACCCTAATAAGGAAGATGTGAATGCTCAGTGCACCTGGCTTGTAAAGGTTTTCAGGGATTTATGGAATCGGTCACTACCCTAATAAGTAAGATGTGAATGCTCAGTGCACCTGGCTTGTAAAGGTTTCCAGGGATTTATAGAATCGGTCACTTCACTAATAAGTAAGATGTGAATGCTCAGTGCACCTGGCTTGTAAAGGTTTCCAGGGATTTATAGAATCGGTCACTTCCCTAATAAGTAAGATGTGAATGCTCAGTGCACCTGGCTTGTAAATGTATTCAGGGATTTATAAAATCGGTCACTACCCTAATAACTAAGATGTGAATGCTGAGTGCACCTAATGCTCAGTGCACCTGGCTAGTAAATGTATTCAGGGATTTATAAAATCGGTCACTACCCTAATAACTAAGATGTGAATTCTCAGTGCACCTAATGCTCAGTGCACCTGGCTCGTTAAGGTATTCAGGGATTTATGGAATCAGTCACTCCTCTGTTACGTAGATAAGAAGCACTTCTCAAATGTGGGGCATTTGAAGTTCAGAGCGAGGATTTGTTGAAAGTGAAACCTCAAAAATTTTATTAGCTCATTGCATACATTTGATTATATTGATCATGGAATTGGAATCCGAAAGCCAAACCAATCAATTTTCCATTATAATCGATCATTAGCTCATCAATAATAGGAATCTTTCTCACTAAGTTGACATCCTGGGGAAAACATTTCCTAAAAAAGACTGCCTTCAAATTTGATTCCAGTCATAAATTAATAGGAATGTTGATCATTAATACATCGATCGAAATTTTAACTCTGAATCTGTTCTAGGCACTTAAGCCTGAAATTTGCAAGCTTAACTTTGTGAACTTATCTTTTTATAGCGACATTTGTGAGACCATTTGTTCTAGTTTCATTCAACCAGTATGTTGTGCAAAATGGAAGGTAGTTCATGTAATTTAATTCATGATCAAATTTTTTTTTTATACAGAATGTGCAGTATAAGAAATGTGGTGTATGTCATTTAGTGTTAGGAATTGGTTAGTACATTGATAATCGATAGATTGGAAAAATCGAAAAAGCCAGAATCATCTATATCTGTATGTTAAAGAATACGTGTAAAATGTATAATTGACAAAGATCTCAGAGTTAAAAATAACAGAAATATTACAGGTTTAACACTATTTTCAATAAGATTCAAAGTTTGGAAATATGTAATATCAAGGTTTCACTTTATACACAAAAACTGCAGGTATTAAGAATAAAAGGTGTCGTAACGTTTTAGGACTGACTGGTCCCTTTGTCGACCTTTTAAATGTTGTGACATGTTTAATACATTCATTGTTTGTATATAAAGTATAACTTTAATATTGCAACACTTCGCGCCCTTTAAATTTGAAACTCTTTCTGATTGGATATCTTGCCGGGGTCTATATTTCTAGCAGGGTCTATAAAAGCATGTGTGAGGGGAGATAACTCGAACTAGAATATCTCTTTATAACAACAAAGATGACGTCCAACACACTCAAGCGTTCAAGGTTTGCCAATCATTCACAGGATGAAATAGCCTACAAGCAATCTAAAACGACATCAAATTCAACGAAGTGGGCAATGAGGGGCCAGCTATGGTGCTAATTACAAAGATGGTTGTGTATTGTCCGAAATATTGCCGAAACAGTGTCCGGTAGGGGCTGTTTTGGAAGCGGTAGAGTACAACTCAAACTCACTAAGTGACTTATGATTTTACAGAAAGAAAAGTAATAAAAGATTGTCAGAGGGACAAATTCATTATCTCTGGGTAAGGCAGGGTCTACTGGCTCATAGACCCCTATCGTCTTTATAGACCCCTTTTAACCCAGAGATAACTAATAATGTTACATGATAAAGGGATATAATACCCGTTTTAACTGACTTTTAACAGGGTGGTGCTAAAGACTATGTACAAGTAGATATTGATGACCTTCACCTTACGGATACCAGCGCTGGCAGATGTTACCACTGGTTGGAAGTGCAATACAATCTGATTGGCCAAACAGGCCCAAGGTATGCAAGACTTTTTAAATCCTGTTTTCTAGATGCTACAAAGGATCCCAGTTCCAGTGTATTGGTTTTTGCTATATACAGTAATCTCCCTTTAAGGATTTGCACAACTAAATCATTTACTATATGTTATTACTAAGCTTTTGAGTCCTTGCAGGTAAGGCGTAAGAATTATACCTGCTGCCCCCATTGCATGATTGTAAGTGGCGATTAAATTTGGGATCTTATCTTTTCTCTTTTTAAACAACTTTCTTCTTCCTAATGTCTCCCTTGACAATGCCTCACTTTTGGCCTTTAGTTGAGTGTTCGCCCCTGTGAGGAAGGCTTTGGGTTCTGTCCCCTGGCCGAGACATACCAAAGTCTTTAAAAATGGTAGTTTCTACTCCTGCTTAACGCTCAGCAATTTAGGAGTGGGACACCTGATTCGCCCCTTGTCAGTATAATCTGACCGGATCGGGTGTCCTGTTGGGTGTCTTCGGCAGTATGTTTCAGTGAGGTAGCACTATAAAGTCGGCATCAGTTCTGCGTTATCACAAGGAGACAAACACATACATATCGCAGCCTCCCAAAACATGCACGCATACACTACGTGCATGCATCTTGCACACATGGTTTGCCGTCCTTAAATGACCACAGCTGTTGATAGGACGATTAACAATACTTAAACCAAACCAAACTCACTAAGCTTTTGAGCTAATGGCGTAAATATTTAAAGTTCAACACTAGTGACAACTGTCTAGATTCACAGATACATACCTGACAAAGGCTTCAAACGGCGTTTTTGGCGGGTTTAGTGGCATATACGATCGCTACATGCCTCTGTTTGACTACTGGAAGTTTACAAGCCAAACCAGTGAAGTTGGACAGGAACCCCCCCCCTGACATTTGACCCCATATCATCTTCCATCACATATTAAAATCTGCGTTTTTTCTATACCTTTTTCTAAAGTTCAATATCTGTAGATTTCATTCAATGTAAAATGTCAACAATTACCTAATAGTATTTTAATTACTCGGACGCACTGTAGTAAACTGGAACACATTTTAGGTAGGGATTACAATTGTATGAAACACTTGCTGATTGGCTGATGTAGTTGTGAAAGTCCTTGAACAGGTTTGGATATAACTGGGCCTGTCACTCTTCTGTTGACCATCGGTAGCTCTGTTGGTTAGAAGGATGGTATAACAGTCTCTTAATTGTCCACTGTTGGAATCCCGGTGTAGTTCACCTAATTTTCTGCATTCAGAATACTATTGTTGATTATTTTTGTCTCGCCACCTGGTACATATCTCTCTCCAAGTACAATACAATAGACGTCGGCATTATAAGTTCCTTGTTTATGGTATCTTTCATGTCTGGTCTGGGGTAATAATATACAACATTTGATATAGCGCCCTATCTAGCTAGAAAAAGCCACTCTAAATTAAGCGCTTTACAGTACAAAGATATACAATTAATATAATCAGTACAATTGGCATTAATCAATACAATTTTGAGGAATTCGCAGGAGCTGCCTTATCGAGCGCAAACTACTAGTCCTATGCCACCTGGCTAATATCTCCTTATGTGTGTATACCTGAGTGTGTGCTGGATATGTATTGTGTTCTGTTTGTAGTGGGACCTATAAAGCTTGCAACGGTATCATTTATAGTGTCTTCTCACTTGAATGCTACAGCACAGATACTGCAACATCCATTCCAGACAGTTTTTACTCTATCTGGGTTGTTGGAGTTTAGTGTGTTTTATGATGTCACAATTCCACTAGATTCAAATCACCTTAACCCTTTCACCACTGTAGACCTTAATGGACTCATCCAGATCAATGTATGGTAGAGTCTACTAAAGTTACCTAGGGGTGAAAGGGTCAAGAGCCCAAGGATGGCCGAAAGTACTAGAATGATATATTTTTCAGTGTTTGTTTTAATTGCTGTATACTGGGAAATCTTCGTTGTAGTTGATTTTTTTTCTTTTTCACCCTCCGTTACGAGAGTATTTGTAAGCACATTATATGCATAGTAATTGAAGTTATTGGGCAAATTTAATATTGGGTGAAAATGGATTTCCTGTCAAATGGTCAAATTTTGACTGGCGAAAAATTTCCCGTTATACAGCATATGTATTGTTACTATATGGAGAGAAGCTGTAAGAGAAATGATACAATTTGAAATGCTTTCATGGATTAATGAGTAAACTTGCACTATCAGCTTTTGTAAGCACACTTTTTTTTTAAAACCCCAGACGTTGCGGAGTAGTGCAGGGAGAGAATTACATTACATCTATCGATGGCTATCCAAACCTTATGCTGCTCAGATTTGACAGCAAGTTCAGCAGTGATCGCCCCAGCAGCAAGGGATTCAGTTTGACAGTCAGAAGTGTAGGTAGCGGTAAGTGATTATCTTGATTCATTCACCCCTACATGTTAAATGACCGGCCCAGATCTGAACCGAGGCTGACCTCAAGAAAATTAGGCACGCATCAATTAAGAGTTCTAGACGAGCCTGATTGAAACAAAAATGCTGACTATTACTTGTTTGTTATTTCTTTATATAGCAAGGTCAATCTACATGTAGATTTTAAGATACATTATATAATTTAGTTGACACATGAAAGGACATATTATTCTTGATATGTTGTTATTTATTCAAACTGCAGTTTTTAGCTCTGCCTACAGTGTGGTGCAAGTGCGTTAATTTATCATGGAATATTTCTGCGCCACCTGAACCGTTTCAACCGGGATACACGAACGCAACCCTAAAGTATTGGATTCCTAGCCTTTCCGGTTGATTTCAAATCTGTATTGTGAATTGTTGTTTCAGGTTGTGCCACAAGTCCTTGTGTACAGGGAACATGTAGTACTACATCGGGCAATGGGTTCACTTGTACGTGTGATAAAGGATTCACCGGCCAAACTTGCAACATTGCCTCGGGTGAGTAACTGTTAGCATTTATTTTCCCCTGGCAACATAAGTACGAGGGAATACAGGATTCCGCTGGTACGTAGTTACGTACGTATGTTATACTCGTTGTCATTAGCTCTACTGACCTCATTCCTCTATGGAATTTCATTAAATTTCTTCCAAGTGTTTTGTACGGCAATGCCTTGAACAAGTTTTGATTTTGGTTCTTCATTTAATGCCAAAGTCACTGTTTCATCGCTCTAGCCACTTCCTTTCCTCTTACATATTAAATTTACAAAAGTGGGAAACGGATCCTGGCTTCATCTGAATACTCGTGCATATGGCTGTGTTTTTTCCCCAATTCAATTTGATGTATTTACTGTCGTAGAATAAAAGAAATCGGATTGTTTTTGCAGATATTTTTATTATACAGAAACATAACATCAGAATTGCAACACATTATTATTACTGGTCTGTGTTTCTTCCTGATCATGTCGAGACTTTAATTTGCAGGCATGCAAATGAAAATTTTCGTGTGTAGAAATGTTTTGTATCAGGTCTTTTTACTCGTTCACCCCTGAAGACTTAATTGAACTCTTACAGTTCAAAGGTTGGAATAGTCTATTATGAAATTTCAGAGGTTTATTAGCTCACCTGCCCGAAAGGCTTATGCCATGGTGCAGCGTCCGACGTCCGTCCGTCAACCTTTCCTTTAAGACTACTAGTCCTGAACTAAGTGGACAAAGTGGATTTAAACTAAACTTGGTCTGGAGCATCTTTGGGCCAAGGTCACTCAATTTTGTACAAACAGTGGTTGTGGCCCAAAGGGCAGAGGGGCAGGGCTCAATAGGGGAAATAAAGGTAAAATCTTTGAAATCCTTCTACCATAGGCATTACGGGATTTTATCCCAATTTTGTCTTCATAAAGTGGTCTAGTAGTGCCTGTTACACTTATGGTGTACGCTTGTGTATTCATTAAACTAAGATTGCCACCAGGCCACCATTTTTACATTTGAAGTATGTTCTCACTATATCTCCAAACATACTGGATGGATCTTTCTGACATTTCATATGTACATACAGTACCTACCATGGAGTGCTACTAGTATATCTTTACCTCATATCAAGAACTTAAAACATCCAGGTGAGTGATACTGGCCCTCTGCATTGGCCTCTTGTTATTTATTGGGCGTGGAAAGTTTTGCATTGGCAATGGTTCTTGAAAGTACAGTCAAACTTTGATTTACGAACTTTGCGGGGCCATCTGGAAAAATTTGAAACATAATGGGACTTTGAATCAAGAATATTTAACATGGAGATCCTGTTAATAAGACAGAATGTGATAGTTAAAATATGTGACGAAACACAGGCTAATACATTATATATGTACATCTAATTCTAAATATATATAATATATATTGGATTTCTTATCAATTTCAATATTTCTGTCAATTAAATTTCCGAAGTTACAAAATTCAATTGGCCACGGCACATTTTAATGTTCTAGTACAGTCGATTATTTCACTTCAATTAATTAGTTGTAATTATCAATGTTTTCATAACGAATGGGCCTTGATTATACTTTGAAATAGCAAGTAATTTGAATTATAATGGTTTGATTCATGAGAAGTGTTACACAAAAATTCTGGACTTTGCCGTAGTTTGATTTATGGAAGTTTGACTCTATAATCTATATATAATCTATTGAACCTATTTGTTAAAAACTGAATCTAGAAAAAATTCTGTCGTGTTGATGACGGAAACATTTTACGTCTTGGAAATTTTTTGTCGTGTTGATGACGGAAACATTTTACGTCTTGGAAAATTCTGTCCATGTTGCACTTATTTTTGTCATTTAACAGGATGCAGGATTTAACACTTAATTACAATGGCAGTTATACTATAGTTACATCAGTAAAATCTCCTCAAATAACGAGGATTTTGCTCTCTCACGCTCCGTACATCCTGTGATGTCGTAACAAAATCGAAGGCACCCAGTTAGCTATTTGATTGATTTCAGGTTAATGAAAAACTTCAATCGCTAGGCTGATACCTGTCTTTTGAAGAGCAACACCCAATTTCAAAGCCAGTCAATTTTTAGCTCACCTGGTCCGAAGGACCAAGGTGAGCTTATGCCATAATGTGTCGTCCGTCGTCCGTCCGTCAACAATTTCTTTAAACGACCTCTTCTTCTTAAACACTGATTGGAATTTAACTAAATTTGACTGGAAGCATCCCTAGGTGGTCGGGATTCAAAATTGTCCAAATGGTTGAGCTGACCTCCCAGGGGTCTGAGGGGCGGGGCAAAAAGGGGGCAATTTGGCTAAATTGCTTGAAGCGACTTCTTCTCTGGAACTAAGAGATGGATATCAACCATATTTGACTGGAAGCATCCCAAGGTGGTGGAGATTAAAAATTGTACAAATGGTTGGGCTGACCCCCCAGGGGGCTGAGGGGCGGGGCTAAAAAGGGGGTAATTTGGCTATATTTCTACAAACGACTTCTTCTGTAGAACTATGCCAGCGATATCGATCATATTTGGTCGGAAGCATTCATGGGAGGCAGGGATTCAAAATTGTACAAATGATGAGGCTGACCCCCCAGGGGAATGAAGGGTGGGGCCAAAAAAAGTGTATTGACTGGAAATGGTTGAGGTCCCCACCATATAACCACATATACAATTGCTGAGTATAAAGAGAAGAATGCACATTTGCTTCCAGGATGGCCCTAGGGTCTGGCCCCACCCTTGAAAACATAGTCCTTGGGCCATAACTTTAAAACAGCTGAGATCCCCACCCCAAAACTATATATACAAATGCTGGGCATAAAGAGACGAATGCAGTCACGATATTAGAATAGACCCTGGAGTCTGACCGAACCCCTAGGGACCTAGTTTCTTAGTCACAGCTTGGAAACAGTTGAGATCTCCACCCTATTACCATATAGACAATTGCTGAGTATAAAGAGATGAATGCACATATGCTTCCAGGATGGCCTTAATTGGGAACTGCCCCACCCTTGGAGACTTAACCCTGGGTCATAACTTCGAAATGGTTAAGATCCCCACCCAAAACTATATATACAATTGTTGGGCATAAAGAGACAAATGCAGTCATGATATTAGAATTGACCCCAGAGTTTGCCCCACCCTTGCAGACTTAACCCCTGGGTCATAACTTTGAAACGGTTTAGATCCCCACCCCAAAACTATATATACAAATGCTCGGCACAAAGATACAAATGCAGTCATGATATTAGAATTGATCCTGGGGTCTGCATGGCCACAACTGTAGGGACCTAGTTTCTGAGTCACAGCTTGGAAACAGT